TTCTAAAACTCTTCCAGGCTTGGAAATTGCCGTTTTAAAATTCCGTGACTTTTCCATGTTTTTTATGACCGTACCAACCCTGTATTGAACTCACCTACTTCAATGTCCACCTGTACTGAAGTGCTGATAGTGAAACCTGACAACACTAAAGCCTGGCCTAACCAGTGTTCATGGTTATTTGGACTTCATGAGAAACACCAGCTCACCTACTACATCTGAACCCCCATCCTCACTGCATTGTTCAGGTGCTTTCTGAGGGGAGAAGAGGTCAGCAACTCTTTTCTTTTTCTTCTTTGGTGAGGAGGGCTTCTTGGCCTGGCTTGCTCCCTGCTCTTGATCTGCAACAGACAAACATTAGCACATGTTAGTTACAACCCTTTAAAAAGGCGCATTCAGTGGTCTCTGAAATATGATATGAAACAGCTAGCCAAGTATAATGATCCCAAACTAAGGCGCGCTCTCTTCATTTATCAAATGATCATAATCACAGCCATTCATTTTACAATCCTGCTACAAGCCTTTTATTTAGACTAAAAAAACCCTTTTCATTCAGCTGAGGAAGCTGGCGTTTTGAGTGGCATTTGCGCATCTTTTCATGCCGGTGACTATATGCAACTGCAAGAGGCATTTTGCAGGATCTAGGTTAATGATTAATCGATTAATTGATCGTTAATTTACACGATAATCAATCATGGGAATGATTGAAAATTGACATCCCTAGCGCAATCCCACATCAAAATTCAGGACCTAATTAAAAATATATTCTATTGAACAGAGATTTGTGAAATACATTTCCATGACTTTTCCAAAACTTTCTGGGTTTATTAATTTTTCTAAAACTCTTCCAGGCTTGGAAATTGCCGTTTTAAAATTCCGTGACTTTTCCATGTTTTTTATGACCGTACCAACCCTGTATTGAACTCACCTACTTCAATGTCCACCTGTACTGAAGTGCTGATAGTGAAACCTGACAACACTAAAGCCTGGCCTAACCAGTGTTCATGGTTATTTGGACTTCATGAGAAACACCAACTCACCTACTACATCTGAACCCCCATCCTCACTGCATTGTTCAGGTGCTTTCTGAGGGGAGAAGAGGTCAGCAACTCTTTTCTTTTTCTTCTTTGGTGAGGAGGGCTTCTTGGCCTGGCTTGCTCCCTGCTCTTGATCTGCAACAGACAAACATTAGCACATGTTAGTTACAACCCTTTAAAAAGGCGCATTCAGTGGTCTCTGAAATATGATATGAAACAGCTAGCCAAGTATAATGATCCCAAACTAAGGCGCGCTCTCTTCATTTATCAAATGATCATAATCACAGCCATTCATTTCACACTGTTTGCAGTGCGTATGCGGTGCGTACTTTTTCCACACCCATGTTAACGGATCAAAGCATTAACACTGCACGCGGTTGCAGTCCGGCAATGCGTTCCAGGAACGGTGCGTCATTTGAGGTATCATTTGAAACTGCAAAGGGTCTACTTTTGTGTATAGTCATAATAACAACAAAACAATGTGCTTTTGTAAAATAAAGAAAATAAACAGGGTGCGCTCTCTGTCGTCTCGGTCTCTGTCACCTCTCTTCACAGACACGTAAATAAAACAACCTGAACCTCCATGAATACTTGCCTCAAAGACATGATAAATATATGCATAGAATGCTTGAAATGAAGTGTCATGTCGAAAACAAATATTCTCTGATGAAGTAATCTGTATGAAACCAACGTGATGTCCAGTTTTGCTCATCTAAATTTATATCTTATGTGACCATGGCCACGAGCCGATCGCGCTTTTCAAATTCTAAATATCCACGTGAGACGTGCGAATATGTTAATACCCATCACCTCCATAAACGACAGTCACCAAGTTCATCTCGGCTACTTTTCGTTTCTGGAAGACGACGCGCTGAGAGGAATAACCCAGGATTTACCTCAGAAGAACACGATGCGACGCAGCTTGATCCAGTGGAGGAGATCATTTATAGGAGTAAGATTACTCGCGTTAGTTGTTATTGTGACGTAACGTACACATTTTGCTAGTTAAGACTTTTCCCAAACTATAATTCCTGACTATATGTATGAAATCAAGAGAAAAATTTTGAATATGTGGCATTTAATTACATCTAAATATCTCACAACTCCAGGAAGTTTTTTTATGTTTTATAAAACATAAACACAAGATATAAAAGTGGTATGAGTGTTTACACTGTTTACAGTGAGTCCAAGAATGTTTGGCACAAAGGTGTGTTACTGTTCAAGTTTCAGTGTTTAGATCAGTATGTTCAATAAAGTGTCTTTGACCGTCAATGTGTATACTGTGAATATTCTGTGTTGTAAATAAAATAGTACAAATAATCAAACCCTCCCAAAATTTTACTCTCCTCACATTCTTTGTTACCTGCCTCAGTCACATTCATATGGGAGGCCCTTTGTCTCTCAGGTGTGAATCAC